AAATATTGCATATCAATATAAATAAAAGTTATTGCCAAATATCTTCTATTAATATTGGATCAATATCGGATAAACATTGTATTAAAATATAGGAAGAAGGTACATCTCCTATATATTACCAATATTAGCTAACGGTTAGTTTACGTTAGGTTGCAATTTCTAGGCGACCTAAAAGTTAACCATCAATCTTCCAAGAATTTTGGTACCCAAGCGCCGGGCAAAGTGTCTTTATATGGACTCAATTTTGTCAAAGATGTTTTGTCAATGTTGGGTCAGTATTGGATAAATATTCTATATAAATAAAGGAAAAGGTACATCCCTTGTATATATTGCCAATATTGGATAAATATTACAAATCAATATAAATAAAAGTTATTGTCAAATATCTTTTATTAATATTGGATAAATATCGGATAAACATTGTATTAAAATATAGGAAAACAGTATATGTCCTATATATTACCAATATTGGCTATAAATTGCCAATATTGGGCCCATATACAATATTGTACCAATATAGAATAAATATTGGGTCAATGTCGTGTGCTACTGGGGATATTTATTTAGGTATTTTTATTAGTAATTGCGAGAAGTTTATGCGGAATCCAATTTGTAGGTATTTCGCGTAAGCGTTTGTTAAGATCTGTTATCCATTTCATTACAGGTGGAAGAAATACGGGAAATGATAGATAAGATTCAAGCCAATGTGGAAGAAGTCAAAAAGAAACACAGCGGTATCCTATCGGCGCCTCAGAGCGATGAAAGTGAGTGGTTTTTTTATTTTTCTATTTTATTCTTAATAGAAATAGTAACATTATTGAGAAAATACGTTCCATCCACTTGAATCAATGTAAAATCTACAATTACTCTGCATATCGTATTTTCTGTTTCTATTTGCCGCATTTTTCTTTACATTTGTTGATACAGATTATGTCGAATCATATAATAATAATCTAATGAGCTAACGTTTGCAATGGAAAATAGTGCCGCTAATGATATGATACTCTGGAATTAATTGACTATTAAAACGTCCAATTAAAAGATGGAAATCCAGGATGTTGTCGTTCAATCGGAATTTTTAATTAAAAATCGCGGAATTTTAACGTGGAGACCCTGTTTAAATGTTTTGCCAGTAGTCTGTTAACATCAGCTGTGATCTACTTATCACTGATATGATTAATTCGAGGCAAATAGCATTTTTAGGTAGAAAATGATGACTGATTTGTGTTTTTTGCAAGGGTTTACGGTGGTTATTATAGAAAAGGTTTCCTTGATAACCTAGTTATCTTAAGAGATTTGTCTAAATTAATGTAAGTTCTATGCACCATCGGCCATGGTACCCATTTGTTCAATAAAGGAAAGGTTTTCGCGTTTGTAACTATTCTCACGTTGCCACATCCCCTTACAGTCCTGATTTAGCCCTGGTGACTTTTTCCTTCATCACAGCGGCGTGGAACTCCATAACTTGAAAAGGCTACGAAGGGTATTTCTAGGGGAGGAAAAGGTGGAGATAATGGTGCATGTAGAGTTCGAGGGTGACTATTGTGAAAGCCGATAATAAAATATTGAGCAAAAATTAATTTAATTTACTTCTGTTTTATTGTAACTTGATTGTACAAGTGAAGTACATTTTTCTTGTTAAGTTTTGTCACCTCGGAAAGGCACTTGTGCTTTGTTGTCTCCCTTTTATCGCAGATGAGTTACCAATCGACCTTGTTTCCACCCCTAAAAGGAATCGAAACAGTAGGACGTATATGGTGCACTTACGTTTTACTTCATTTCTTATTTTTCCGTTCAGCACCAATTCCGAATTTAATTTTGCAGGCGTGCTTTATCATTACACTTTTATTCTCGTTAGGAAAATACGAGAGGGAATATTAGCTACGTGAAATTGTGAGGATATGCGGCCGAAGAATGGGGTTTATGTTAATTTTGAAAGCGCATTACGGTACGATCCTGGAGTGTTTTAAAATCCTTTTAGAAATGTTAAAAGTTTTAAAGTACTAGTCCGAACAAGCGAATAACTCGGGATTGAGCTGTGGTCGATTCGAGAATTAATTTTGAATGGCATAAATTAATGTACAAGGACTGCTAAAAGTGGAACTTGCTGCTTTAAAGCGATTCCTAAGTTTCCAAAATTGGTCCTTAGAGTGTGAATATATGATTTATTTTCGTATAGTTACAAAATTTTTATGTTGTAAGATCGAAATGTGGTAAAAATTGGACAAACGTAAAAGATACGTGATTAAAATCAGAAACAGGCTTTTAAATCAGTTGTTTGGTATTAAAGAAGGTCTTGATAACTTAAGTTATTATTATACAATTATTTATCATTGTATGTGGAATGATTTAGCTTAATTTAAAGGTTTTTCATAATGCGTATTGTAAGGAATTCTTATTTAAACTGGTACCGATCGCTGCATGCGGCATTCGTTCATGACACTACAATAAAAGTTGTTATACGGAAAGTTGTACAATTTCCGATAGCGGGTAGCACCACAAAACCAACATTACAAAACCCTTAGTGAGCGAGTCTTACTCTCACTTTATCAGTAACCCTTACGACTAATAAATTAGAAGTCAGTTACAAAGTTGATAGTATAAATCTGTAAGTGAAAAGTTTCATCGTCAGTGTTATAATTTCACATTTAAATAAAGTTGGAAACCGATTATGTGTAAGACGAGGTCGTTTGAATATGCAAGAGAGCATTAAAAATAGAAAATTACAACCCCCTACAAAATATACGATACATAACTCAGGCACCTTATCTAGCGCCCGTTATCGGGGAAAAAGGAGTTTCTTACGTTGAGGGTAGAAGTTTTCTAATGGCTGGTAGCGATTCGGAAAATCGACCCGCTTTATGTACATGCCGTATACAACAGCCATGGACTTCGCGTCGCGCCAGGACGACCCCGATTTGTTTTCTATTCAAGCCTCGAAGGGCGATATGTGTGGTATTGGGCGAAAAATAAAAGGCTCGGTTTCGTTGCCGGTAATCCTCGAGTTTTCCGGGATTTTCCCTGTCTCATTACAGTCAACTACATTCATCATTTCATCAGCCGACCGCCACACAATGCTTTTTATGTGCGTGCTGAAGTTAAAGTTGCATTTTCCATTCCTTATAATTTACATTTATGCCAAGAAATGGCGTTTATGTTATTAAAATATTAAATTGATAATCATTTTTTAATTTTGACATCGAGAACGTGCATGCATGGGAATGGGAAAATGGTTCTGATGATGGGCAGGGAAAAGTTAAAAAAGTACACCCAAGAGAGATATAAAAGTTAATCTACTTTTCGATCAGTGAAGTTCTATTTATTTAGTAAGGCAAGACTTGAGTTTTACCCTGGAAAACTTAAAACTTGTCACTAAGTTATCGATGTCGTAAAAGCGTCTAGATCTAATTTCGATAAATTACTTACTTTCTGCTAGAGAATTACGTATTACATCGAAATCATTTTCAGGAGGAAAACGTGTTGTGGAGAAAATTTATCTTGTATTTAATTTGTATTTAGTTTTGGAATAGGAACGAGATGTATATTTACGTATACAAGGTGTTTCTGAAATAAGTAGCAAGCTTTGGAGGGTGTTAATAAAAAAAATGGTGGCAAAACCAGACGAAGTTGCAAACCGAAGCCGGTCCTGGGCGTGAATTGCTAACGTATAGAGAAATTGCGTTAACAATTAAACAACTACATCGATGAAAAATGTAAACAGTTGTGGAACGACCAATAAAGTAAATATCAAGAGCTTACTACTACCCTATTACACATAATAATCGCCCATTGCGATAACAATTAATTAAATAATTACTTTGTCTATCGCTGATAATATGTAGTACTATTTAAAGTACATCTCGACAAGGTATTAAGAACACAAAATTTAAAAAAAATACTCGTACAACATTCAATGGAATGTTGGGCTGCGATGTTGTATTTCGTTGCATGATCCTGCCAGGACCGGACTGTATATTCAAATACATTTTCCTCGAAAACGGTGGACATTAGGTCCACTAAACATTTACTTAATTTTGTTGTTCTCTATCACCTCCTGCAAGCTTGCTACTTATTTCAAAAACACCCTGTGTGCACTATTTATTGACATTTGCTTAACCGGGTCATCAAAATATAGTTCGCTTTGTAATTGTACGAAATTAGGCAACGATATCATCTGCCTAAGAGAGAGAGCATAGGGTACCTGTCGCGGACCATCTGGTATTTACGTTTCGTCAGACGGGGAAGGTGGAAGGGTTAAAGGGGGAATGGAAGCTGGGGAAATAACGGTGGTTTGCGTAATTGAAATTTCGAAAGGGGAAGCAACTAACCGACCGGTGAAGCATTAGGCCGGAGCCCTCGGGAGATAACGGAACATGGCTTATTTATGAGGATAATCGGAGATGAAACGTCAAACTATCCGAGATAAATTCGAAACGCCACGAATGGAACATTGAGATTAATGTTTTCCAAACGGGTCGGTAATAAGTCTTTAAAAGTTAGATTTGGTCTTTGTTTGCAAATAAATAGTATCTTTAAGATTAGTAAGATAAAACTAAATATTAAGGCTAAAGATAAGCTTTTTGTTTTTGAGTAAAATTTTGTTCACCATCAGAAGAGCACGCTGAAAATTGTTAGCCACTCGTTTTGCTATTTTCGTTGTACATTACATATGTATTGGTATGCAATTTTTGGAACGGTAATGTTTGTGCAATTTGCATGGTTGGTTATTTGTTTTGAGCGTTTCTGCATTGTCCCAAGAGTCCTTTTTGTTATTGCATTCCCGGAATGCGATGAATAAGCAATCGTGTTCAATCTCCCCTCGGATGGCGATGGGACCGATACTTTTCTGATACGCGCTGGAGTGGGCGCGACGACAATGCATTCAAAATGAAAATCGGATCGCAAAGGACATTGTCCCGCACGAATACTCCTCGCAATGGCCTAAACTAAACTCCTTTGATAATATTTATTCGAGGCGGAGGGACTGCTCTGAGATAATTCCCGAACGCTTTTGACCTTTTTTCTCGAATGTGAGGAACGCAATATAAAGAAAAGTTACCGAAAATCTGCAGATTAACGATGTTTTAACTTGAAGGCTGTCGAGCAAACATTTCATAAGAAGAGTTGGAAAATCTTTATGTTTTATCAAAACAAAAAAATACAACCTCACTAGATACCTCATGATTTTCGAGTTTCAGAATTTTATATTTATCAATTGCCCCCTGCTTTTTAAGATTTTTTGCCAAAATAATCTATTTTCGCATTAAATAATGTTCTTAATATTTAGAGGAACAGAGGAAGAGAAAGGTTATTTTTCGTTTAAATGCCACCAGAAAGTGTTTCTGATGTTTCCTCATCCTTCCGGCGTCCCGTTCTTTGGCGCTGTTTATTTGAAGTTTAGTGTTTACGTCATTCGCCATTTTTTTAATCTACTCTCAACTGTCTTCGCCTACCTCTAATCTGATAAACGCCGACGTTGGAGGGATAACGAATGGAGTCGTGGCTGCCCGTGCGTGGAATTATTTCACGGAAATGAAGCTCTTTTTTAAGATCTAAAGCCAAATGGCAAAAGCAGAATCCTTAGAATTTTGTATGATTTTTCAGTCTATCCGTCACGTTTCTTTCGAAAACTATTGAATTTACATGGCTCAAATTTGAAATAGTTGTATTAGATAGTTATGATGGCGACAACGGATTAAAATAAATTCTTGCATAAATACACCGTCAGGGCTAGGTCAGATTTTATCTTCTTGTACTTAGTGAACTGTAATGGGGTAATTAAATAGTTCCATGATTTTTCATCCCCCGGCATAATAAGACCGGACAAAATATCCCCGGACAAAAATCCCCGTGACAAAATGTCCCCGTGACAATATATCTGCAGACTAAATATCCCTAGACAAAATATCCCCCCCACCCTAAAAATCGCTATAAGAAATTTTTTCCAATATTTTATTTAACCTAACCTAACCTAACCCTGTCAAACTTGCGCCATGCTACCTTGCCGTACGTTCCCTTCCTTACCAACCACACCTCACATGATCAAACATAATACAATCCAACCCGTCAATCCAGCGCAACCTAACCTAACCCTATCGATTTAATGACTTATATATTACTGACAATCAAACGTTATTATTATTAAATAAATACAAATAAATATATGAAATGAAGTATATGAATTTTATATTATTTATTGGAGTATAGATTCGATAATTTATTATCGGGGCTTTTGTTCGGTGATATTTAGTCTGGAGATATTTTGTCACGGGGTATTTTGTCTAGGGATATTTTGTCACGGAGATATTTTGTCCAGAGATATTTTGTCAGGGATATTTTGTCAGGGGATCAAAACGCCTCATACGAATTAAATACCTTTTCGTTTTACACTTATTTACCTGTTAATTGTCCAGTAATTTTGAAGAAATTAGTGAACATTTTTGTTGTGTGTTTTAGTTTAGGTTTTAGGTCAATATTGTCTCTTTTCATTTGCGTCCTGGATTCTCTCTTTCTCTTGGCTTTTTTTTTCTAAGTCGTTCACGTCAGGACGGAGTTGTCGGTTTCCTAGCGTAACAAGTTCTGCACTTGGCCCTTCGATCCGATCCTTCTTTATAGTATCCAGTCGTCTAACATTTCTATTTAAATTTCTAATATGAGTTGAACTTTAAAGACGCCCAGGGTATCGTCTGGGAAATCCTTGCGATTTCGTATTAGCGGGATTGAAGACGGCAAAATCTGCTCGGGACGTCTTAATCGCGACGCAAGACGTCGGGTGTGTGCCGGTGTCATTCAGACGCTCTCTAGGCCGTCTAGGATCAATACCGCTAGCGAATGCCTTCCTCGTCTTTCTCTCGCATTCATATAGGTGTCTGGATATATAAATTTGTGGTCAGCGTCGACTTGGCGTCGTTATTAGGGGACTCGCCACTTCTTTGTATTGGATATATAAATTTGTGGTCAGCGTCGACTTGGCGTCGTTATTAGGGGACTCGCCACTTCTTTGTATTCCTGGTCGTTTTCTGTTCTATTTTAAGACATTCGTCACGGAAATAGATGTAAATTTAAAAAGGTTAATGCGAGTAATCGGGAATTTATCAATGTTTTAGTGCATGCACTTGTTCTGATAAATTATCTTTTATGTATAATATAATATCGTATATTGAACATTATTTCGCGTGTTACTCTACCATAAAATCTTAACACACGTTTGCGGAAATAATTTAATCCATTAAATTGAAATTTATTTGCTGATTAATTATTGTAATTGGTAAAACGTAAATTTATTGCTTTTGGGATTTCACACTTTATACAGCTAAAAGAAAAATCGAACCCATTACGTACTAGGCTTACAAAGATATATTAGTGATTTCTAAAATGGACTATAATTTGTCCCCAATTTGTTACGAAATCCTAAAATTTGTCGTTCTAGTCGGACACTAGAAAATAAACTGGCCTGATATCAATCTAACACGACAAAGTGCACTATAATTTGTTGCTTGATGTCAGGCTAGTTTATTTTCTAGTACTTGCTGGAGTGATAAATTATAGTGCACTTTGTTGTGCCAGCGTGATATCAGCTTGGCCTATTTTTCGGTAACTGGTTGGAGCGACAAATTGTTGGATTTAGTAACAAATTAGCGACAAATTATAGTGTATTTTGTCGTGCTAGCTTGATATTACGCTGGGGTATTTTCTAGTTTCAGTCTGGAGAGACAAATTTTTGGATTTGGTAATAAATTAGCGACAAATTATAGTTTATCTTGTCGTGCTAGCTTGATATTAGGCTGGTGTATTTTCTAGTATCCGGTTGGAGAAAAAAATTTTTGATTTGGTAACAAATTAGCCACAAATCATAGTGCGTTTTGTGGTGCTAGTTTAATATTAGGCTGAGGTATTTTCTAGTATCCGGTTGAAGAGACAAATTTTTGGATTTCGTAACAAATTAACGACAAATTATTGTGTATTTTGTCGTGTTAGCTTGGTATTAGGCTGGGTATTCTTTAGCATCCGGTTGAAGAGACAAATTTTTGGATTTCGTTATAAATTAGCGAAAAATTATAGTGCATTTTGTCGTGTTAGCTTGATATTAGGCTTGTGTATTTTCTGGTATCCGGTTAGAGAGACAAATTTTTGGATTTGGTAACAAATTAGCGACAAATTATAGTGCATTTTGTAGTGCTAGCTTGATATTAGGGTGGTGTATTTTCTAGTATCAGACTGGAGAGATAAATTTTTGGATTTGGTAACAAATTAGCGACAAATCGTAGTGCAGTTTGTTACGCTAGCTTGACATTAGGGTGGTGTAATTTCTAGTATCAGACTGGAGAGACAAATTTTTGGATTTGACAAATTAACGACAAATTATAGTGCACTTTTTTGTACAAATTGAGGACTTAAATATGGTCTAGTAATAGAGAACAAGTTAAAGTTGTATTTAAAAATTGTAGGTCAAATTGAAATTGTATTACATTGTCAGGGTCTTGATTTACTCATACTTTTTATTCTATTTTTGTTAATGTTCGCAGCTAAAATTCTATGAGATAATGTGTGAATCATACATTATATTTTATAATTGTTACTGTTCCGGGCAGGCGCGAGTGCTCGGCGCATAGTGGTTTGAAATATATTTATGTTTCATTATTGAGATGAAAATTGTTCTATTGTACTATTTACGAGTTAGACCTGCAGTAATAATTTCGAACAAATTCTCATTCTCTTTGTTGTTCACCCTCTTTCTCTGTTTCACGGGATTTTCGGTTTGAATGTGCGGTTAGTCGATTCGGGTCCATTGGAAACCGCATCAGAACGTTTATCTGTAAACATAAAGGAAATTACGTTCGTAACAGGGGAAGTGACCGAAGGAAAGCTTATGTACATAAATATTTTACATGATTATTGCTATTTCGGTACAAAGAAAATCCTATTAATTGACAAAATGGTTTAGGGAAAACTGTTGGGAAGTAAATTAACGCTGATATTAAAAATTTATGCATATTTAAAACTACACATAGTTATATGCATTGACCAGGGGCGCAACAAGGGGGGGTCCACGAGTGCCCGGGCACTCACTCGATTGGGTTGGTCACCCAGTCAATTCCAGTCGATTCAGATAATAACCCAACTTGAAAGTTCTTGAAATGAACAGCCGAATTTGATCTTTTCAAGTATTTTAATTCAATACATTGGTTACCCCATTTTTTTTTAGTCATTTATAGTATTATTATCATCATAGGGTCGTCAGTCCTAAGACTGGTTGAACACGTACTTCCACTCTTTCCTATCCTGAGCTAATCTTCGCATTTCCCTAAAACTAGAACATACCACATCCTTAACTATTTGCGAACAGTAATCTAACCTAGGTCTACCTCTACTCCTAATTCTCATTTCTTCTTCTAATATGTCTCTGACTAGATCTGCATGCCTGAGAAGGTGTTCTACAAATCTGACGTCCATAGAGTTCTCTATTCTCCTATTTTTTCCAATACCTCTTCATTTCTAACGTTCTCTATCCACGGTATCCTCATCATTCGCCGGTAACACTACATTGCGAACGCTTCTAACCTTGTTTTTCCCCGCACTCACCGTCCATGTTTCGCACCCGTGCAGCGCCGCGCTCCAAACATACACCTTTAACAACCTCTTTTCGAATTTCTAAATTAATCGTTCGCGAGCATAGAAATGACTTCCCTTGTTTTATATCCTTATATACTCTTCCTTCCGTCCTGACTTATCTGACTTCCTAGATACCAAAAATCAGCCACTTCTTCTAATTTTTCGTCTTCTATCTTTATATTCTTTTCCTACTTTTTCTTCCCTTGCATACCAGTATTTTTGTTCTAGTTACGTTGATAACATGAAAGTAATCAATTTTCAATTAAAACCCTTAATTTCGTGTTACGTAATACATAATTAATTATCTTCAGAATATTTTCGCGTTACGTATCGTAGAATTAATGGAGAAACTAACCTAACCTGGTCTGACCCTCGCCTAACCTAATGTTACACAAATACAATAAGTAAGAAGGAGAGAGATGTCCACTAACGCGTTCGATTTTTAGTCAGCTTTTCCAGACCTAGGAAAATCTAAAGAGTTTAGAGCCAGTTTAGGGAAACGGGGATTTTCATTTAATTTAATTTTTTGTGTTAAATGAACTTTTGTTATTTAAAGTCTACTTGCACTTTGAAAATTCTTTATGTACTTGCGCCGAATGAATTTTTTTATTTAAATTTCCAGCAATTTTCTCGCTGTGTGTTCTTTCTTTAAAATATTTCTCCATTGTTGCAGAGACGAAACAAGAACTGGAGGATCTTATGGCCGACATAAAGAAAACTGCCAATAAAGTTCGTGCCAAGTTAAAGGGTAAGTACGCAATAACTACTTTAAACTACCGNAAAACTAGAACAACCCACATCCTTAACTATTTGCGAACAGTAATCTAATCTAGGTCTATCTCTACCCCTCCTAACTTCCATTTCTGCCTCTAATATGTCTGTGACTAGCCCTTCATGCCTGAGAAGGTGTCTTATCAACCTATCGCCTATTTCTTATTGACTTCCATAGAGTCCCTTGTTCTCCTAATCTTTCCAATACCTCTTCATTTCAAACGTTCTCTATCCACGGTATCCTCATCATTCGCCGGTAACACTACATTGCAAACGCTTCTAACCTTGTTTTTCCCCGCACTCACCGTCCATGTTTCGCACCCGTGCAGCGCCGCCCTCCAAACATACACCTTTAACAATCTTTTTCGAATTTCTGAAATAACCGTTCGCGAGATAGAAATGACTTCATTTTATTGAAGGCAACTTGATCCTGCGCTATCCTCTGTTTCATATCCCTACTACTCCATTCGTCCTGACTTATCTGACTTCCTAGATACCAAAAATCAGCCACTTCTTCTAATTTTTCGTCTTCTATCTTTATATTCTTTTCCTACTTTTTCTTCCCTTGCATACCAGTATTTTTGTTCTAGTTACGTTGATAACATGAAAGTAATCAATTTTCAATTAAAACCCTTAATTTCGTGTTACGTAATACATAATTAATTATCTTCAGAATATTTTCGCGTTACGTATCGTAGAATTAATGGAGAAACTAACCTAACCTGGTCTGACCCTCGCCTAACCTAATGTTACACAAATACAATAAGTAAGAAGGAGAGAGATGTCCACTAACGCGTTCGATTTTTAGTCAGCTTTTCCAGACCTAGGAAAATCTAAAGAGTTTAGAGCCAGTTTAGGGAATCGGGGATTTTCATTTAATTTAATTTTTTGTGTTAAATGAACTTTTGTTATTTAAAGTCTACTTGCACTTTGAAAATTCTTTATGTACTTGCGCCGAATGAATTTTTTTATTTAAATTTCCAGCAATTTTCTCGCTGTGTGTTCTTTCTTTAAAATATTTCTCCATTGTTGCAGAGACGAAACAAGAACTGGAGGATCTTATGGCCGACATAAAGAAAACTGCCAATAAAGTTCGTGCCAAGTTAAAGGGTAAGTACGCAATAACTACTTTAAACTACCGTGTACGCGGATTAATAGTAATTGTTGTAAAAGTGTTTCGTGTACGTAAATACACATACGTGAGGGTGTTTTTCTTTCTTCTGCCTATAGTGATAGAACAAAGCATAGAACAAGAGGAACAAACAAATAAATCGTCAGCGGACCTGAGAATACGTAAAACTCAACACTCGACGTTGTCTAGGAAGTTTGTTGAAGTAATGACGGAGTACAATAGAACGCAGACGGATTATAGGGAACGGTGTAAAGCGAGGATACAGCGGCAACTCGAGATAAGTAAGTCCCTGGAACCTATCCTTAATTTCTCCAATTTTTTAACGTGACAACGTCTTATAATTCGATGGAGCCGGCTGCGCGCACGAAAAAACATGACTCATGCGGCGTTACCTCGCTCTGAGGCGTTCCATTTAAGGCTTGAAGTGCAAGCGAGAGCGCGGAACGAGCGACAAAGAGGCACAATCGGCCTCCGCGTTCGGCAGCGTTC